GATTGCGCGCGTGATGATCGAGGACCAACACGCGCTGCATCACGTGATGTCTCTGATGGTTCTTGGCTCAACTCTTGACTTTCGTCTGATATGTTAACACGCAACACCTCCCACCTGCTGTCGACCTCAATTAGCGATGCTTCGCTGAGCTCTGTCGCATCGCTTGAAGCAGCTAAAGACACTGCGCTGTTGACAACCGCTCCTTTCTCTCGCACACCTGCCCACGCAACGCCGACCCACGCTCCGCCTCGAAGCAGACAGGCTGCCTTCCAGAGCGCATGCCCGTACTCAGCGTGTTACGTCGATGCGTAGGGTGATATAAAAGCAAGAGGCTGCTAGGCATCATTCACGGTGGACCCATGATGGGTGATTCATCGCCATCGCGAAAACCTCGCGATAGGACCACAAAAGAACGAAGAAGTGCCGGGCTGCCTTGCCCAAGCTACGGGTTCGCGCCTGAGTCCGCTCCATAGCATACCCACAGCTCAGGCGGTGATGCAAAGGGCACTGTGAGCGCCAAGTGAAACCAACAAAGGAGTGAGTAATGAGTCTGTTGTTGACATTTGATGCCGAAGCGGCGAACATCGATTGATGGCGATGGGATTGGTGAAGGATGGCAGATCAGCGATTGCGGCTGAGCACATAGAGAGGCTTGCAGCACAAAGGACCGAGCATGCAGGCGCGGCACAGGATGGCCGTGCGTGATGCTCGCACGCGCCGGCAGGAGCATTTCTTCTGAACAGCACCAACCAACCTGCAACGCGTGCGCGACCTTTCTTCATGAAGCGGCCGAGCTATGATTTGCCTTGGCTTTACCAACACATACCTTAGACTTTCGTGCTCACCAAACCCTCATCCTCCTCGCGCCCGCCATCATTATCCTGCCCGTCTCTTAGCTTCGTCTGGTGATCAAGGGCCTCACGCGTACAGCACTCTTCATCCTGCCTCTGGCTAGGCCATGCACCTGCTCGAGAGCCCCTACACTCGCACAGCTCTTGCACAGGCTCGAATCGCTTTCATCTGCGATGCTCCACCACCATCATGGGTGTACACGACTCGACCCAGGCGTACATACCGCGAAGCAGGTGCGCTGATCTGCTCCGGTGCCAATGCGAGCTCTCGAGCTCCTAGCACGAGCCTTCCCACCTTTCCGACCTTGAGAAGCAGCACCGCACCAAGACAGCTTTTCTTCGTTACGCCTCGCCAAAGTGCGCGTACCAGGTCTTTCTCGGCGCTGAGCATCGCTCTGGACAGCTCGAAAAGGGAGCAGAAAGCATATGCTGATCTACCCATATCCAGCGAAGCTGCTCTACCTCCCTGGCAGCCCGTGGGGGAGAAGAGACGGCCAGGCAGAAAGAAAGGGAAAGGAATGGGTGGTGGCGTGGCATCAGAAGAGTTTTCAGCTTCTGCTGCGGATGGCTCTGAGCCAGGAGCTTCAAAAGGCAACAGGGGCGCGAAGAAGAAGAAGCAGACGTGTAGCGGCGATACTAGGAGCTCGAGCGAAGGTGCTGGCTTGCAGCAGGACCAATCGAGTCAGACATCATCGGAGGCGACCTTCGATCGATATGATCGTGAGTGCTCAGGTCGGTAGCAGCATCAGCCAGGTCTTGGTCAGAGCTGATGGAACACGGATGCCCACCCAATCAGCTCGAGATACAACATTGCCAAATTTGGCAAGGAGCGTCTTGGCGGACATGCAGCGCTTTCCTGGCTGTATGCTGCTCACCCGTGTCGGAGGCTTTTATGAGGTGCGTGCTGCCCACATGTACATTCCTAAAAAGTAGCCTTGAAATAACGTTTCGATATCCACAGTCATACTTCGATCAAGCCCCACAACTTTCCAACATGCTGGGCATCAAATTAGCACAAAGGTTGTGGGGTGGACGAACGATAGCAATGGCTGGGTTCCCGATCCATCAACTTGAAAAACATCTGAAGATTCTTGTCCAGGATCACCACAAATTAGTAGCCATATGCGACGAATTCAAGAGCATCACAAATCAAGGTGGAGCTGAGAAGGCTGCTACTTTGACCATGGATATACAACGCAGAGTTACTCGCGTCATCAGTCCTGGAACTTTGATTGATGAACGATTTTTGGACCCCTTCAAAAGCAACTGGGTGGTCGCTGTCTCGTCTCAAAGTGGCGAGTCTCATCTCTCGAGTCAAGAGCACCAGCTTGCCCCAAATGGCATTGTACAAGACGCTTATGGTCTCGCTTGGGTCGACGTCAGCACCGCTGACTTTTTCACCACTACGTGCGCTGATGGAGAAAGTCTGAGGGATGAGTTGGCGCGTATAGGCCCTTCTGAAGTGGTACTCGAAAGTGGAGCTTTCGACAAAGGTCTCTTAGATGCCACTAGAGCAAGCGGGCGCGATGCGACCCTCAACCAGCTCGGTGATCCAATAGACCCCCTACCTCATCCCATTTGGGAGGCTCTCAACCCGCATACGGTCCACATTTCACTCTGCGGTGCGCCGCACCGTTCGCACGACGGTGACGTAGAAGCCCGCGCTGTTCTGCAGCTTACCGATCATCTCAGAGGACGCTTGATCAGTCACGGAGATGGGGTAGAGGCGTTGGCGAAAGAAGGTCCAACCCATCGAGCGAGAGAAGAGACGATGCTCATCGACGCAAACACGCTCGCCGCTTTGGAAATCAAACAGAGCATGAGGGAGAATGGAAGCGTCAGGGGCAGCTTGTTGTCTACTGTTCGACGGACGGTCACCAAAGGTGGCACCCGCTTACTGGGACAGTGGCTTAGTAAGTGGTCTGAAACGGCCTTGCCGTTTGTCTAATGTAGACATTCTCACCTTGAACGAGCCTTTTGGTCTCCTCCGCTCAGCCTCGCCAAGCACATCTCTCGAGCTCATCAAACGTCGTCAATCAATCGTAGCCTTTTTCGTCAATCGAACTTTCTTGCGAGAAGACCTTCGCGCGCTGTTGCGGCGAGGAGCTGGCGATGTCTCGCGGGGACTGCAGCGTATCACGACCGGTCGCAACGACGAGCAAGATCTATTGGAAATTCGCGACTTCATCGTCATGACCCAGGATCTGCTATCTCTGTTGGACAAAGAGATGGCCCAGCTCCGACAAGCGCAGCAGGTGACTCAAGACGACGTCTTAATTGCAGGCTTGGAAAATTTAGATTTAATGAAGGAGCGCTTCAAGAATCTGGAAGGGCTGGGAGCTCGCTTGGTCGAGGCAATGGACGAAGCGGTGCTCGAACAGCGTCTCAGGAGGCAGGAGGCGCTCGCTCGTGAGGTCGAAGAGAGCTTGCTTGATGACGAAGCGCGCGGCGAGATATCGAATGGCGCCGTCACGGTGAGAAAGAAAAAAGGCAAGCAGCCCGGCGAGCAGGACGATGGTGAAAGTTCGGACGGTTGGGGAGACCCTTTTGAGCACCTGATTCGGCCCAGGTGAGCAGCCACGGCTGATTCCTGCCCACTGGACGGGAGGTGGACTGACAGCAGGATTGCTGCATCTGATCAGCTCATCGCATCAGCTTCGAGTGACGACCGAAAAGTACGAAGCCACTAGACAAGCGGCATCAAGACTTCAACGACACCTGCAGGAGCGTTATCACGATCGAGTGACGCTCAGAAATGTTTTGGCTCAAGGCTACGTGGTACACTTCGCAGGAGCAGATCGGAAGGGCAACCTCAAGATGCGCAACAATCCCGAGGACGAGATGACGGCTGGACAAAAGCTGAAGACCACGCAAACTTGGTATCATCCTGATTGGAGCCGGATCGGTGCAGAGCTAATGCGAAGTGAAGCCGAGATCAAGAGGTTAGAGAATCTGGAATTGGTTCGCCTCCGTCAGGACGTGTTGGGACAGCTCACAGCAATACGTCGCAATGTACGACTGGTGGACGAGCTGGACGTCCTACTGGGCTTTGCGCAGCTGGCTCACGATAATGACCTGGTCAGACCCGAGTTGGATGATTCATCGGACCTGCAGGTGGTCGAAGGACGGCATTTGAGCGTAGAGATGGGGCTATTGGAGCAACACAGAATGTTTCAACCCAACGATGTCACACTCTCGCCCACCTCGCGCTTGCACGTTATCACCGGGCCCAACATGGGAGGTAAAAGCACATACTTGCGACACGCGGCTTTGATCGCCATCCTTGCCCAGTGTGGCTCATTTGTCCCAGCCAAATTCGTCAAGCAAGGAATCGTGGATCGCGTCTTCAGTCGCGTCGGAGCTAGGGACGACGTGTCTCGCGACCGCTCCACCTTCATGGTGGAGATGAGCGAAACGAGCGAAATACTGCGACGAGCAACGAGCAGGTCTTTGGTCATTGCCGATGAGATTGGAAGAGGAACGACTACGGAAGTCGGCATTGCTATTGCTTTCGCTACCTTGCATCATCTATACGAAGTCAACAGATCGCGAACTCTATTTGCCACGCATCTACACGAGCTTGCGGACATGCTTGGATGGAGCAAAGGTCGTGAGACGGCAAGTCGCGTCGGTGGCCGCTTTCCTCACGTGGACTTCTTTTGCACCGATGTGGACGTCTTAGAGGTGAGTTTCGGAGCTCAAATGTTTTACAGGATGCCCAAGTATGGCTCGCTGACGCATTCCACCTTAACCTTGATTTGGCAGGACGGCGCCATCTCCTTCTCCCACAAGCTCCGATCTGGGGTGAATCGCGATTCGCATGGATTGCAGGTCGCGCAATTGGCAGAGATGCCACCACAGGCTCTCCGAGTCGCGCACGCAACCCTTCAATGGCTAGAGAGTGCTGAAACACCAGCTGAACAAGGCTCCGTCGAGAGCGATATTGTTGCCCTTGCCGTCGACCTTTCATCTATGTCTGCTGCCAAAGTCCAAGATCTCGATCGCTTGATAGCAACGGCGATCGGTACCAGCGTCGAGGTGAAGTGAGTATGGCACTAGACCGTCGTTGCGGCCGCCTGGTCCGCACGTCGTCGAGAATCTTCCAACCAGACAGCCTGCTTCGTGTACACATATCCTCTGCGGCTGCAAGGGCTACCATTGAAACATCAGATCTTTGCACGACCTCGGACTATGAAGGTACCACTTCCTGCTCCGTGCTGCTCCTGAGCATCCCAGCCTTCTCTCTCCAGCATCCTCTTGATTCCCGGCCTAAGTATTGGCGTTCGATTTACACTGTGGTTGCCGACTCCAGTGATGATCTTCAAGCCTCTCTTCTGAGTGGTGCCATCGGCCCTCCTCTGTACGAAATCGTTGGAGGCGTTCCATTCTTGCAGGGCCTTGCGGGTGACGTCCAGCGCTTCGTGAAGCGATAGCATGTGGAGATCTATTTCATCCTCGATCCCAATTCCCGTAGACAAGGCACCATACCCTGATACGTCTTGAGCTCTCTTGGTCTTGCGTTCGGAAATGAGCTCGTGCGCTGCTCGCATGTTCCATATTCTGGCTTTCGCTTCCAGCTCCCTTGCCGTGTCGGCGTAGTACCATGCAGCAGCAGGCCCAACTCGTCTGTACGTTGAGCTCGCCTTTCTCAAGGCTTCCTCTCGCTGCAGTCGATAGTTGGCTGCAATGTCTCTGCACTCCGTGGATGAATAAGCGCCCTTGTTGGCTGGCTCGTTAGACGTGCCGCCAACAGATGTGGTGGAGGCTGGCGTGTTGCTCGCGGGAAGGAAAGCCGTCGAACCACGCAAGGTTCCTAATTTGGTTTTGACGCGGGGGGCGCCACTCTGCGCAGGCTTGAAAATAGGAGGCACGAGCTTGTGAGAGCTTGAGGTGGCCTCGTGCGCTGCTAGCCCGCTCATGAGCTCTAGGAGGTCGATCGCTGAATCTTGCCGACCTTTCGTCGCTCTGAAGGCCAGCTCCGCTTCCGGCAAGGTGCATGCGCGGATCACTGCAATACTCTCCACCATATGTTGGGCCGTCCCGGCTGGTGCACCGCCCGATTCGTCCAGCCTCGATAGCGTGGTCTTGCCTGCCTCTGACTCCACCACCTCGGTGGCTGCGGATGAGAGATATCTGGATCGATGTCGCAAGGCTTTCTGGACCGATTCGTCTGGTAGGTCCAACAGCAACGATAGCTGTGCTTGAACCGATGATGTGAGCACCCAAGTATTGTCGACAAGGGACGAGCCAGAGACGGCAACGGGTCCTTCCATACTTGCAAGTCCTGAGCCGTTTGCCTGTCTTTTCTTAGTAGACTTCTTCTGCTTCGATTGTCCACCAAATTCATTCCAATCTTTCCGTTGCACACTCTCGGCTTGTTGTTCAAGTCTCGTCTCGTCGATAGGCTCTGTCAACAAAGCCTCGACCGCAGCCTCGACATCGCCACGAGTCCGTCTGAGCGCTTCCTTGAGAGCCTCCTCCGAGTGTTCTGGCAAAGCGTGCCGCAGAAAGTCTCTCGCATCCACGGCTACAGTGCTGCTTGTGGAGAATGAAGCGACGGAGCCGTCGTCTGATCTTGCCTCGCCTCCTGAGCGTCCAAAGGGCGTTTTTGAGCTAGAAGCGGAAGACTGGGATTCTTCGAGCGCAAATATTGAGCTGGTACTATTGCTTTGATCTTTGTCATCTGCTGCTAGCTCCAGATCAGCGACCGGTGTGCACAAAGCAGCGTCCAACAGAGCGGACAGAACTTCGCGGGCTGTTTGCTCTGTCTGCTCCGGCTCGTGGCAGATGGCAGCTACTAGCGAGGAGTCCAGCCCTGCAGGCACGTAGATAGGCTGCGAGTGCGAGTGAAAAGGCGTATGGATATCAGCAAAGCAGCTCGAGCTAGAATGCATGCACTGCGAGCTCGCTTCGAGACCCTCAGATCTCACCTCAAGCTTGGCTTGGATGTCTGCCATGTTGAAGCGTGTCTGAGTGACCGAGGATGACTGTGACGGGCATCGAGGGCCGATCGCCGATCGCCGAACAAGAGCTGCCAGGCGGCAGGAGCTCGAGATGCAAACTGAAATTTTAGCTCGAAGGTCCAAGATGTGCCCTTAGCCACTGCGGAAGGGGATACTGCGATCCAATTGGGGAGTCACGACCGACGTAAAATCTGCAATGCTATGCGGAGAGCTTCGGTGATGGTTGAAGTGGTCAAAGAGCATTCACGATGCCGTCGTCGGATACTTGTCCACCCTGCTGCAGAACCTCACGTAAGCCGTCGAAGGAAAATGGCACGCTGCTGCTGATGATGGCCTGCATCATCCAAAGCTCACCGTGCAGCAGCAGCAGACGCGCAAACTTGGGTGGAGGTGCCTGCCTGCCTGCATCGCACTCGTTACTCAAGAATGATCACGTGAATATGGGTTGTAGGTTAATCAAAATCACCAGAACGATAGAATGACAATTGTAATACCGAACGGCAAATCACCAACAAGCGTGTAGCAGGTCCTGGATGACAAAGCGCGCCATGCATCATGCACTTCTTTTACACATATGAGGTCAACCGGAAGAAGACATCGACCACACCTTCCAACAACACCCCTATTACGCGATTCGCGGCTTTCAGTCAAAGTAGTCAACGCAAGTTGATACGAGGCTCATTACTGGCAGTCAAGTGTCTCGCAGACCCCACTTGCAGACCACCTCACATCACGATGATGATTGCTCGAGCGAATGCCCACCTGCCCTTAAGGGCGCTGCTTCCGGTCTTTGGTCGTCAAGCGCGGAGTCAAGTCAAGAGCGTTACAAGCCTAGCATCCTCGGCATACTCAGCAGATGACACGGCGCCATCGGTCAGAATCAACTCCGCCTCAACCGCAGGGGCGTCAACACCAAAGCTGGGCACAGCCTCCACTCCTTGCTTGAGCCCTCACGATCGCCTACTGCTGTCTCAAATGCTAAGGGTCGACCATGCTGGAGAGGTAGCAGCGAACACAATCTACGAAGCGCAAGCTGATGTATTCAGAAGGCTCGGAGATTCCCAGACGGAGCAACTCATGCTCGTGAGTAATTGTTGACCCGCACCTTGGTCCGCAAGGAGGTCTTACCGATCCATGCCACACCTTTCCCTGCAGGAAATGTGGTCCACCGAAAAGAAGCACTTGCGAGTGGTGACGGACATTTTGCGACAACACCGAGTCACCCCTTCCAAGCTTTTGCCAGTATGGAGTGCTGCAGGAAGTCTGCTCGGTGGTGTGACTGCTCTGCTAGGAAAGGAAGCGGCAATGGCTTGCACGGAAGCTGTGGAGACAGTCATTGGGGAGCACTACGACGAGTAAGTAGAATTGCATTCGTTGTTACCAGTCCAGGAAGGCGCGATGTCAACTTTTTTTGAGCCAAAGGGCCTGGTTTTGACTTTACGCATTACACACTCACAGTCAGCTGGATCATCTGTCGAGTCTGGTGAATCAGAATGATGCCAGCAGTCGAGACGCAGGCTTTCCACACGAAGGCGTAGACCCGTCTCTGCCACTTCTTTCCTCAGTCATCAAGGAGTTTCGTGACGATGAGCTGGAGCATCTCGATACTGCAGTAGAGAACGACGCGCAGCAAGCTCCCGCCCATGCTCTGCTCAGCGCTGTAGTTGGTTGGGGATGCAGAGCGGCCATACAGGTTGCTGGTCGATATTGATCACCGGAGCTTTCGCGATCTCTTATGCCGACGATTGTCGCTTCCCATAAGTAGTCCAAGGATCCGAAGATCATGCATCGATGGACCCATCGATCTTTGGGCGAAGTAGCGGTGGCGCGCCAACTTGCCATGGTGGGGCAAAGCTACAAAGAAGATCATCATCTTTGATGACATCACCCATCCGCAAACCGGCTTCTCGAGGTCCTACGGAGGACCACTCTTACCGAAGTTGACCTGACTCCGCCACCACCAGCAATCGGCTGACATGACCTTCGCATCATAGCGGCGACTCAGGCGACAAGGAGGGAGCGTTAACCGATTTTCCAACGCAGTCCAGCTTATTCCGCTCTTTCTCCTTCTCATTTCCGGAGCAGATCGAGCAAATACAGAGAACAGAATTTCTTGTGCAGACTGCATGCAGCATGCCGTATGAAGGGGGAACCCTCATCAACCTGCATGACAGTCAATCATAATCCATCAGGTGCGAAATCGGCCAGCTCCGTGGGCAGCCATGTAGATGGAACCAGCCGCGCGCATTTGCGACGAACCTACAGTGAATGCCCGACCAACACGACCGTTGAAGTGCTTCAACAGTGCACCGCTCGTCACTGATTTGTCAAGCTTCAGTGCTATAGTTACTGAACTCTCAGACAGGACCCTCGGATGGAGCGCGCAAAGCTCCCGGGTCAGTGGACGTATTGATCACCTCCGACGCAACTTTTGAGGCAAGGAGTACACTCATTGAGATTCAAGCTTCGACGACCACGAGCAATATCACCAATGTCCAGTTTCAGTTTCCTGTTATCTCTCTTCGTACGAAAGGGGGGAGGGAGCGCGCCTCGGTGACCTTCGTGAGGACATGCGACGACGGTCTCCGATGCGGCCTTTACGCTTAACACGCAAGCGCACCGGTGCAGACGTCGATAGGGGGAAAGCTAGATTTCATGGAGAAGGCCACAGAGTCGGTCGAGCAATTTGCGGTCTGTATTGCGCGCCTACCTGGTGGAGTGGGGCTTATTCGTGGTCCGGGCTTGCTAGGATGAACAATCGACCCTTGGAGAGGAGCTAAGCATCCTCTAAAGGGCAGCCGGGCACATTACCGGCACACCGGACGAAGCAATTTCGGCAATGCCGCCCAGACCAGCAGGCGTGCTCACCACACGCTTGATAGCTTGCGGGCATTCAACCTGTGATAGCTGTAATATATCGCTGTTGGACACGATGAATTGCTAGGATCACTCTGGAAGGCTTTGTGCTGTATGAGTGCGGTCGTTGAGAGCGATGTCGCCCAATGGACTGTCTGAACAGGCAGATGCAGACGCCCTCGATGGTTGTTAGCGAGTGAACAGGGTTTCGAAATCGAGGCAGTCAACCGTGGTCGGCATGGAACTCAACAAGCACGACGGTGAGCGTGCGTACAGACGCAGCGACGTGCACGCCGCAAATTCTAACGCAGAGGACGCCACAGTAGGCGACGTGGCAAGGATTGGTTGGATCGCAGATGCTAGAGTGGGTGAGTGAGGGCATATGAAGGCGATTCGGCTGCGGACAGACGAGTGACACGCTATCTAGAGAGCGTGGGCGAGTCGTGTTGCGACGCCAGCGCGGTTCGGCGGGCGTGTCCACGCACCGCAATCAAAGGTCGAGCTTTGCGCCCTCAAATTATTAAGGACTCTATCCCAGGAGCGAGGTGGGCCAGGCTACGTGTTAGAGTTTCATCAGATGTGTCAGGGCTGGGTCACGGAAAAGTCCAGCACAAAAGTGAAGTCTTCGCTTGGACTGTGCGTTGTTCGTAAATAGTTAAACAGACTCGTGTGCTGGACAGCAAAGCTTCTTCCGGCAAGTCCTTGTTTGCGACGCAAGCACCAAGATCCGCGATTCCTAGGAGCCTGGTGCGCTCGGCGCGTCGTGTAGGCGGCGCAACATCAAAGCACGCCCGACGCCGTTACTGTCACAAGGATTCAGCTTGAGTGAGGTTGCCAAGCTTAGCTGTCGTCCAACTAACACTTGCCCCCATGGTGTTACTTTCTCCACGATGGCAGCATCAATCTCCAAAGAGGCAGCCTTGGCTCAACCGCAGCAGCCAGCGGATCAGGATCAGAAGGTCGGAATTGAAAAAGGATCATCGA